GCTGGGAGAGGAGCAGCAAACACGTAAAACAGGAGGAAGCTGGAGAACCGCAGAGCGAGACCCATGAGTGGGAGCTGGGGGTGGGAGTAGGAGTAGGAGGAGGTGCCGGAGGCAGTTGGGAAAAGAGGCATGGTGGAGGTGGAGGAGGTAGCTGGGAGAGGAGGGGAGGTGGTGGAGGAGGAGGCGGCGGGGGAGTTGGGAGCGGCGGCAAGCCTGCACAGGAAGTTGGGAACGGGGGAAGAGTTATGGCAGCTGGGAGAGGAGGAACCACAATCCACTGGAACCAACGCCCTGCCCGGACGCCTACTGCAACCTGGTCATCCTGGCTGTGGAGAACAAGGTGGGATATCTGATTGCATAATGCCGTACAGTAACATACCGTATCATGCTGTACCTTATCCTATCGCACCATATCGTATTGTACCGCATCGTACGTTTAGCTGCTCACATTCAGTATTTTTTCTAAGAAAATGATCACGCAGTATGGAGCTTTGCTACTGGAGACTAAAACACACAGTGTGTTTACTCAGAGATGATAAATCGTAAATATCACTGTGGCTATTCAGTCCAGTCTTATATTCAGATTCCAGAATGAAAAACAGTAGTGTCATAAAATAAAACACAGATAAGTTTAAATTAATTGGTGTTCACTAATCATTCAGCTCACATGTTGGTATAGTGGAAAGTAGGCCAACACTGATGATGCCAATTCATCAACACTCATACACACACAAACACACCACAGTCGAACTGAGACTCTGCATTGTTACATAAGCTGGAGCATTGCATCACAGTTACAGCAGAGAAGCTTTGTCATTCTGTGTGTGTGTGCGTGCGTGCGTGCGTGCGTGCGTGCGTGCGTGCGTGCGTGCGTGCGTGCGTGCGTGCGTGTGTGTGTGGTGATCCTCAGTTATTGTTATCCTTGTCCTTGGAGCAATCGTTTGTTTGGATTGGCAGCATCATCAGTGTGTCATTGTTCAAGTTGCTCAGATTTAGCTCCCAGACTCAAGTCCGGTTTCATCACAACAACAAGATGCTGGCTTTGGATTTTTAGAGGTTGACAGATCAAATTCCATCACTTATTACTCTGTGTTTATCCTTGAGCAGGTTAGAAATCCTGCACAGAGAGAAAACATTTTTCAGTATACTCAATTAAAGTGAATTAAGGGGAAATTCAGGGTTCTGAAGATAAGGAAAATTAAACAACATATCATTTATTTCCCTGCAGAAAGTCAACATGTCTTTGCTGTCAGAGAAGCTCACAGATATTTTCGACGTGGTATGTAATTCAGTGTTCTGACAGCCTCTTTGTGTGTGATTGCGTGCAGGAGGCCGCAGAGGAGTACTGCTCTCTGATCTGTCAGATGTTCCAGATCATTTACGGCCATCAGACCATTGAGTGTGTGGACAGAGCAGGGTTTCACCACACCATGCCCGACCGCTTTTGGCTGCAGAGAAGTAAGTGACACTAAGGCTTTCTGTTGGTCGGATTTGTCCTGTATTATATATAACATAAAGGATGTAAAAACATAAAAACAAGCCTTTTTTCAAGGGGATTTTGCTACCTAATTTTACAGATGCCCCTTAACATCTGTAGTTGCTTTTGGTCTTGCCAACTTAAAGATGTCATCGAACCAAACACAAACAAACGAGTATCCTGACCTGCAACTTGCAATTTGTTCTTTCTGCTCCCGATTATGTTTTTTATGTCCCAACATTAAAGCTACAGGCAACGCTCCAAGAATAGCCAAAAAGCAAATCATCTGTACAATGTTTGTTCTTCCAACATTTTGCATTAAGTTTTAATGAGCATTGCAGTGTCTTTGGGGATGCTCACAAGCTGTTAGAGTGTGACTAACCCGTCTGTGTGTGTCTGTCTCTGTGCAGGTGACAGCTGTCTGACTGACATGTCCTACAGTTATGATCCAGACTTTAGCTGCTGCAGCTCATAGTGAGTAACATTTGGCCCCGACTGAAGCTGTAACAGGTTATGGCCTCCACATAAAGTCAGTGTGTTATGAGTTAATTTAAATGTCCTGTTTTTACAGCACTCTGAATGTTTAGCTCAATAAACACATTCACGCTATAACTGGGGATGTGTAGTAATTCACTCTGGCATAATGGGAGACAAATAAAAAATACAAAAGCGAAAAATAAAAGCATGCATATGCATAAACTAATGTCGACCAGTGCACACATATAACAATAAAGCATCTGTTTATTTTTTAAGTCCAGTAAACATGGTCATGACTCACATGCATATGAAATTCATCTTGACCATAACTCTGTAAATCTGTCCATTTGTAGATGAAGTGAGAAGGTCGTCATTAACTCCACTTTTTCATTGTGGGGGGGGGGGGGGGCAGGATGCAGCCAGTGTCTAGTTATGGTTTTCTTACCAGCAGATATAATTAGGATGTCAAATAGAGTTCACTGACAGCATTAAAGGTTACCTACTATGCTGATTCCCATTTTAAAGGAACAGTATGTAACTCTGACATGTAGTGTTTAAAATAGGTACTGCAGTACAAAGTCAAAACATTGGAGACTCCCCTGCCCCCTCTTCTCTAGAGCCGATGTGCACACAGGTTGTCCATGTCGCAGGCATGGAAGCTGCAGTGTTTCGCTAGCTCTGTTAACCGGTCTGCTTGTGGATCTTATAAGAAAAATGCGGGTAGAATCACTTCTATCTGAACCAGTTCTCTTGACCGTTTCCATCGCTGCTACACCCGTTGGTTTGACCTGATAACTGGTCTCATATCTGGCAAACCGAGGGGTGTCCAAAACGGCCGTGGTTGGGTCCCTTAAAACCGACTACCTTCTTTGGTCCAAAGAAATCCAGAGCATTCGAGTCTGATCTGTGGCTTCTTTCCTGCATGTCATGACCCCACTCTCTTTGAAATAAATAAATAGATAAACAGGAAGAGAAGATTAATAACTGCATCGCTAATAACATATTGTATGCTGACGTAGCCTAATGAAAAAACTATGTTAGGTTATATTGGGGGTTTTTTTATGCAACATTATGTATAACTAAGTCCCCCTCTGGTTCTCAGTGATGGTTCCCAGGATGCCTTTGAGCTCTACTACAGTGAGACGTACAGTGAGAGTTCATCTCTCTCTCTGCAGGACTCCCATCGCAGTCTGGCTTCAGTCAGCGACGGAGGAGACAGTAACCCTGCTCTGCTGCTGATGCAGGAGTACATGATAACAGTGAGTGTGCGCTGACTGTAGGATATGCTGGTAGTTCAAACACTTTGCTACAGATAGCCTATAGATGTTAGCAGCTTTAGCAATAGTAACAACACAACTTCACACAATACACACTTCACCAAAGAAAAGAGAACAGTAGATGAGCTTTTAGTGAAGAAGTTTTGAATAGCGTTAACTTTTTGGAAGCTTAACAGCACTTGATTCATCTTAACCAATACATTTTACCTAGAGCAAAAAATGGAAACCTTAAGTGTAAAATGAGGAACATAATTTGTAATTTAAGGCCTGATACCAAAATATTTGCTATATTTGTGGTTCTTCTTCTTGGCTTGTTGGCTAAGTCATGTTAAGCTAACCGCTGCGCCAGTTTTCCATAACAAACATCAGAGCTTGTTTCTTTTTTTTGTCTTGTTTCTTATCCCAACTGAAACTGTATTATTGTGGCTGTGTCAACTCTCTAAGCTAGCAAGCTAACTTTACATGAGCATAACTAAACAGTGATGTGTGTGCTACCTGCCACGCTCAGTTCTTTTGTTGCTGTTGGTTTTATTAAGTTACACCTGATTTTGTTGACTTAGAAGTATTTAATATACTTATTTCTTAAATGATTTATTGATATTGGCAGGGTTAAGTTGGCAGCAGAATCAAAAAAGTAATATTGTTTGTATGTTTGATGTTTGCATGTGTGTGTGTGTGTGTGTGTGTGTGTGTGTGTGTGTGTGTGTGTGTGTGTGTGTGTGTGTATAGCTGCGTAACAAGCTGAATCCGGTGGAGTTGCAGCACTTTGCCGTGTTGCTGAGAGAATATAGATTGGGATCAAACATCGACTACTTCTGCTCTGAGTTGCTGCAACTGTACGGAGACAACCGCAAGTTCCTGCTGATGGAGAGAGAGAGAGAGAGAGAGAGAGAGAGAGAGAGAGAGAGAGAGAGAGAGAGAGAGAGAGAGAGAGAGAGAGAGAATCACACACAAACACACACACAGACAAAGCTCATTAACTGACTGAAACTCTGCAGCAAACCACAAGAGGTTATTTATATTTTATTGTGGTGTGGTGTGTGTGTGTGTGTGTGTGTGAACTTTACGGTTGAAGGTTGTGTGTGTGTGTGTTTGTGTGTGTGTGTGTGTGTGTGTGTGTGTGTGTGTGTGTGTGTGTGAGTGTGTGTGAGTGTACAGGAACTTACTGTATGTGTGAGAATCTGTAGTTTTACCGCAGCAACTTCGACTTCTGACCTACTTCCATTTAGGAAACCACAACTTCCTGTTAGTGATCGAGCGAGACACAGAAAGAGAGAGAGGTGTTGATGTTAGATGTTTACCCTCACACACCTCGTTAAAGCCGTGTGTGTTTATGTGTAATCGTTGTAATTAAAGGTTTCATGGGAGGAAACCAGATCAGAACAGCAAACACTGAAAGCTTTGGAGCACGCAGACTGTTTTTGTTTTTGTTTTTGTTTTTCGATAGAGGACATGCAGCTTCTCGTCTTTCTTCAATGTCCTTATTTATATTGGACTGATGTGAACGTTGTGATAAATCACCTTTTAAATACAAAAAATTGCATTTGCCTTTTGTATCTAAACTGCTGTATTATATAACTATTAATACTTTCATTTAAATTCAATAATATTACAGTATTGTATAGACTCTCTCAAGTTGTCCCAATTTGTGTTTCAGGTATAATTTAACATTATTAGTGATCCTGTAATATTGTGAAGTCTATTGATACCTCACTCAATGTGTTCCAGGTATGCGCCCGTTCATCCCTGATAAGGACGTCGGGGTGTTTGAGGGTTTCCTGGAGAGCATTGGGATCCGGGAGGGCGGGATTTTAACCGACAGCTTTGGACGAATCAAACGCAGCATGAGCAGCACGTCGGCCACGGCCATGAGAGGGTATGTAGGTCAGGAGGTCATACATGAAGGTCTCAAAGCTTTCTCTTAATAGTAGGGCCGCTGTGGCTCAGTGGTAGAGTCGTCGTCTGAAGGTCGAGTTGAGAAACATCGATTTAGATCATTTAGTTTGTTTGATTTCCTCCCAGCAGGTATGACCACAGCTCGATGGCGTCGGGATCTCAGGAATTCAACCGACGCATCACAGACATCACCCACGACATCCAGGCGCTCGGCTTCCAGGACACACACGGTGACATCGAGGAGGAAGACTACTACCTCTGATGGAGGGATGAAGGGGAAACACAGACACAGTGTGACACAGTGTTTGAACTTTCTGTGTGACCGAGTTCTCTCCTTCGACAGAGAAATAAACTGTAAATAAGTGATGAGGTTGCTTTTTTTTAATGTTAGAGAATATATTTCCCGCTTTAGGAAAAACAGAAAAGAAAACAGACGGACATTAAAGTAAAAAATGTGTAAATAACCAAGAGTCTGTTGTTCTTTAGAAAAACAAAGCTGCCTTTACTCATTTCAACTCATTCAATTCAAACACAGATTGTATTTTATCTAAGTGTACGATATCATTCAATTCAAAACTTTACTGTAGGCTGAAGGTCCGGATAAAAAGACAGCAGGATATATACCTAACTGTAGACTGTAAATATTCATGGACAGAGCCTGAGTGAAGTCACCCATCTGTTCCTGCAGGGCGTCCCATCGATGGCGGTCGCCATGCTGAAAATACCGTCTCACCTTAACTTTCCGTCGTCCTAACGACAAGCTGAGAGCTGGAGCTGAGGCGGGTTTTAAACCTCTTCACATTAAACCGTGGACATACAGTTACTAAATATTGCTTGAGAATATGGAAACGTTTTATGCAACACATTGCAAATTAATATTTTATTAAGTCATTAGGCATACAACTAAATTAAGGCTTCTTACTGCTGGACTTTACATTTCCACTTGCCACTTTTCAGCAGGAGTTGCAGTACCTACCTGTCACCACATGGGGGCATCTGAGGACAAAAAGAGCTGATTTCACAGCCCTGCTTCTGACCTATAGCCTGCAATAATCTGCAGAAAGACCAACAGAAACAGAAACCACAGAGATAGATATCAAATGTATATGGTTAACACTTGTGTATTTATTCTGTGCATGTCATACTTCGTTATTTAATTTAATGGTAACAATGACAACCACAAATAGAAATATCTAAAATCTGCCCCTCTGCGTGTGACTCCCCCTCTCTCTCTCCATGCTGCATTGACCCGTTGTCCTGGCGGCAGCATCATGACCTTCCCATGGTGCACTGCTTCTCTGCCCCCCAGTGCTCTCCTCTGCCAGCCTCGCTGAACATCAGAGAGAGAGAGAGAGAGAGAGAGAGAGAGAGAGAGAGAGAGAGAGAGAGAGAGATCAGTGCCGCCCATGGGCCTCACCCGGGTCATGATAGCATCCACAGTCCCTTTATGTAACTGTATATAATCTAATCTATTATATTCAATAGATTAAAAACTGATATTTGAATATGCAGCGCGAGTTGAGCTTGAACAATGCTGTGACATAATCATGACAATTTTTTTTCTGCAGTGACATCATTGCATTTTTGCATTGTCATTGGATGCAAACAACAACGGTCATATCTGTGATATTTCCTGTGATGCACCTAAAGGTCAGAACCTCCCGATGAGAGTCAAAGTGATTCCAGTAAAAGCTGTGAGATAATATCCAGCTCTGGTATCAGGACGGGGGATAAACTCTGAGCTCATTTCTGCCCATCGAACTGTAGTTTTATTGTGTGTGTGTGTATGTGTGTGTGTGTGTGTGTGTGTGTGTGTGTGTGTGTGTGTGTGTGTGTGTGTGTGTGTGTGTGTGTGTGTGTGTCAGGGGCAGCAGACACATTGTATAAACTCATCAACAGATTACAGCTCTGCAATCGTCCATGTGGCGGCATTTACTATCATATCATCATCCTCCTAGTGATGCGTGCAGCACACACATGCACACACACACACACACACACACACACACACACACACACACACAGACAATCCCTTCCTCTGTTTGTCCTCTGCAGCCTTGCAGCACCATGGATACACCTGTTATTGTTACCTTTAAGCTCTATCAAATCTGAACCGTTTCTATGGTTTGGTAACAAAGTATAACTTATAATAATGCAAATAGTTTGTATTTGTTCATAAAGATGTGTTTATTTGATAAACAATCAAATTGTTTTACATGTCGTGTGTTCAAAGTAAGGCTAAATCTCAGTAGTTGTGTTATTCAGTGGTGTGTCATCACTGAGAGTGATAAGGACATCGAGCAGATAAAATGATGAAATGTAAGATACGTTTTTTTTTGTGATTTCCATAAACAATCTGTATGCTAATGAAAATATATCTGATATCCTCAGATAGTAATTAAGTTCACAGACGTGACCAGTGTTTTGTTTTCCTCACAATTAATCAGCTTATATCAAGTTTTGACGTTTCATTCTAATGAAACATTTAGATTATTACAAAGTCAAAGAAAGGTCGAGTCATTTTAGACTGCAGAAATTATTTACTCTCCTTCTTTACATTTATTATTATTCTATATATTAAACAAAGAGATGTGGGATAAGGGGCGCTGGTGGGATAGTGGTGCTATAATCCTCTAAGCGGGTGGCCCAGGTTCAAATCCCACTTGTGGCTCCTTTCCAGCATGTCATTCCTCTACTACTCTCTCTCTCTCCCTGATTTCTGACTCTATGCACTGTCTCCCTCATTTACAATGATGGTGAGATACAAATCAAAACAAAACAAAAAAAAGAGCTCAGAGAAAACAACAAAGACCGGATGATTCTTAGTAAAAACTAATCACACACTTTGGTTAAGTGGTTTGAGGTCATTCTCTTAATTTGTCCAACAGAAACAAGAGTGTCAATCTTTAGAGAGTGTTGTAAATTATTCCACATTTTTGGAGCAAAAAAACTAAATTCAGATTTTCCAAGTTCAGAGAAAACCTGCAGGACTTGAAGCGATAGACGGTCAGTGGAGCGAGTTCTGTAGAGCGAGTTCTGTAGGGTCCGCTGGTCCAGTTCAGCAGAGATGTGAAGTCATGATTTATGTAACTAACCCCCAGGAAACATTTGTTTTTCTTCATCCAACCCTTGGTGTCTCAGTGCTCCTCCTGTGCAGAAAACATTGTGACATTGCAAATATTAGAGACTGAACCCAAGTTCAGCACTAACCTGTGTTCACCTTTCAGCACATAAAGGTCAGACGAGCAGTCGACATTAATGCAAAGGTTTGTAAGAACAACAAAACAAGATATTTATGGGTTAAATATCATAGTTTATCCCCATCCCAGTTTAATATCAATTTGAATACGTAATAAGATTACATCATGCCAATGAAACATAGATTTGAAGAGAGATCAAAAATGATTAAATGAAGATGACGTCATCTGTGGATTCCCATCCTGCTGTTGATCCAGCTGGAAGGTCGGTTTCAGTTCACTTGTGGCTCGTTTAGATGGAGGGGATCGGGGGGGGGGGGGGGGGGGAGTGTACAATAACAAGCTCCCGGCCTGCAGGGATTAAAGTGTGTGTGCGCCCTGCAGGTTATATTTAGCCGCAGCTAACAGTCAAGGTGTGGTCGCCCCTGCTGAGCCGACCAGGTGTCACTCAGCCCGGCGCTGCTGTCAACCCGGAGGGATCACCACAGAGACAATCCACCAAAGTGCCAACAGCCAATCAGAGCAGCTGTCAGGTGGAGGTGCAGAAACAAGGAGGTCAATGCTGCGGTGTCAAGGCTCTGTACGGAAGAATGACACTGCAGACAACTTTACAACAACGGCACTTTAAAAAAGAAACTACTTCAAATTCAACTGTAACATTCTGCATTAAACCACACGGTGCCTTCACTGCCATGAAAATCTGAGTTTTTTTTCATATATTAATGTATCTAGATGAATAGTACGGTGGCTGGGAAGTGCAAAGCAAAATTACAATGTGTGACACACTTTTGCAAAATTTGAGACAAATTTACATTTTAAAAAACATTTTTACATTTCATAAAACAAAACTAAAATACTTTTACTGAGGAAAAAACACATTTACATTTTATAAAACAAATTTACAAGATGTGAAACATTTTTACAAACTCCAGACTCTTGACGGAAAGGGTATGTACCAAATACTGGAAGTGACCCGAAAGTTATGAAACGAGTAAATTTGTTTAATAAAATGTAAATGTGATATTTCCTCGGTAAAAGTGTTTTGGTTTTGTAGTTTTGTTTTATCGAAATGTAAAAAAAAAAATGTTAATTTGTCTCAAATTTTGCAAAAGTGTTTCACACTAATTTTGCTTTGCACTTCTCAGCCACCGTAGAATAGGCTCGTTATAGGGCTGCTCGAGTATGGCAAAAATCCTAATCAGGATTATTTTTGATTGATATTAAGATCACGATAATTAAACATCTATTACATTTTACAACTTAAGAGTAAACGCTCTTAACAGTTAATAATACATAATTAAATGCAAATAATAATGTGGAATAATAAATAAACTAACTGGGTTCTTCAGGTAGTGGTGATGTACTCTTGTGTTTAACATATAACAACAAACACTTTTACCACAACCTGTGATCAAAAACGAGCACAACATCGCGGCACAATAATAGTTATATCTCGATTATCTTGTTTTCATGATCGTGTAAAGGCAAAATCGTTACTGAAATAATTGACACTTGATTAATTGTCCAGCCCTTTAGGACCCTTCAGAAAAAACTTTGGGAACCAGTGGTCGGCCAATCCAGTAGAAAAAGAAATACAGATATAAAAAATAACAGACTTTAAAAGCGCTGTTTATGCAGAGTTTTATCTCCTGACACATTTTTCATCAAATCTTAAACAACTACCATCTATGGTCTGTATTTACATTTTTTCCTAACAGCATGCTTTGGTTTGCAGCGTAGCCAAACGCCTCCCCAAAGGGCTCGGTGCCCCACGTCATCACGCACTCTTATTTCCGGCCAATGAGAGCCGAGGAGGGCGTAAAGGTCTCCCTCGCCGGGTAAAAGGGATTTGACAGTTGCAGGTCTCGAGTTGATCCACTTCACTTTGACTTCCTCAGTGGGTGCTGAGACCATGGCAGCGGCGGCGGCTGCTGCGTGCGGCCAGCCGAGCGCTGCGATAACGACCTCCGTGGGTGGTAAAAAAACGACGCACACGGGACGGGAACACAGCCGGAGGAACCGGGAGAACTCACGCCGGAGGCAGGCTGCTCTTTTGTTTCTCAGTAACATCTCTCTGGACGGGCGGCCGGTCCTCGGTAATCCCGTTGACACTGTTGGGAACCGCTACCACAGAGAGGCTGACACGGGGGGAGCCGACCCCTGCTGC